TCAATAGTCGATTAAAAGTGATTAAGATTGGTGAATTATTATCTCATGTCTGAAGTGAGTTAATTCACTACATAGCACGAACATCATTCATTGCTAGTGGCAATATTTATTTCACTGCATACATAATTGAATTTCATCTGTTACGACTTCACACTAAAATTCCTACTATCTTGCACAAACGCTCAACCTAGAAATGAAGCGAAACATTTATCACCAAACCTTCTATATCTGAGTTACAGAATTCGGTGGATTAGTTGTGAGGATAGTACAGATGAGAAATTGAACAGATCAAGGTTGATGACCGAACAGAATATATATCTTAGTAATTTCGTCTGTTTATCGGACATCACGAATAATAATCTCCTGTGTTAGAGAAGAACAAAGAAGCATGTATTTGAGAAGGAAAGTAGGAAGAGAAGATGGGAGTGGATAGGTTAGGCTACAGAGAAATCGTCAAAGTGCATGATAAAGTAAGTGTTAATATTGAATTGCTAAGGCAAGAGGAGAAGAAGTAGATTAAGTAAAACCTTGTGTTGCGAATCGGAGACAGCCATTAAAAGAATGAATAGTAATTGGCAAGAACTGGAAAAAAGAGCTCAGGTTAGTTAAAATATATTCATTAGATACTCATAGACAATTAGCAAACGCGATCACCCATTACTATGCCTAGACAAATAGAGAAGGCAAACACATTACTAAATATCATAAAATTACAATCTTTGGCGAAAGAATTTGTACAGCTTTTTTGTATATTTTATTTTAGTTAAATGGAAGTATTTGGAGTTTTCAAATTAATATTCGTCATTGGTCACAAAGAAAGTGCTGCTTGTTTTTATATATGAGATGAAATGTAACCAATTGTGGTGGCCAGCTCTCATGTTTCGTCATGTTTTAGATTCGACAGCTGGATTCCGCAAGTATCGGCCGTGTAAAGACCAAATTGTGACGTGACGGATCATTGCTGAACATTCAATTGAATAGAATTCGTAACAATGAATCAACTTCGTTTATTATGATTGTTTGACAGAGTGTATAAGAGGACCTACTTCAACAGTATGGTGTACCAGAGATCATCAATATCGTACGGAATTCACACGAGGGACTACACTGCAAAGAGGAAGACCAAGGAACAATCTGCGTCGGGAATTTGAAACAGACATCAAAAGAATGAACAGCAACTGGAAAGGATTTCCCAGGACAGAGTTCTGTGAATAAATTTATAATATATATAATAATATAATCATCTCACCTATGCATCCAGTGAAATAACAATACAGGGAAAAGCCAAACATGATGAAGATAAAATCTGTCGGGTTTTTGTGCGAACTTCAGAAAGTCATCAGTACTGGAGCTCAAGTTATGAAGTACTTGGTAAAACAATAGCCTACAAAGAACTACACGTAAGGTCCATTTTATATGATGAAGATATTGTCCTTAAAATAAGTTAGTTAAAATTAGTTTTTATTTTATCTAATCAAATCAAGCTAACAACTGAACCATACATCATTACCAGTACATTCAGTAATAGTCCTTTTTCTATTACACAGCTCTGCCAACGTGATTTCATAGACATTACGATAACTGTAAGAAATCTTCTATTGCTTGCTCCCAAATGCCCTGGTACAGACGAGAATGGGGAGAATCAGCTCTCCTTCTCCAAATGCTCTCACATGGCCACGTGCATACAACCACTGCCACAGAAGTCCTACTCACTACCTTCTCGTGGCCGGGGTGCTTTTTACAAAATTGAGAGGACGAAAAGCGAATGACCGGCGTTATGACTGGGTTAGTGGACACGGAAACTTCACCTAGGAAAGTTGAAAAACCCTCATTCCAAACCAATGGTGCACATGGGCTGGCTCCAGTATCCTAAGAGAAAAATGGCGTATGAACCAATTGTTGGTCACCGGCTACCATGAGAATGCATCGCCTAACGTTGCTCCATGTCTTATGGATCAGACCATTAGGTCGAAAGCTCCGGGTGTGATCTAAGAAAACCACCTGTTTCGGTTTGAGCACCCGAGCAGTATCCCAGCCCTCAAACAAATCAAAGGAGATTTGCGTGGCACATATATATTTGGTGCCTCCTCGTACCAATATCTATGTGTTCAAATAAGTAAACTTCTATTGCTTAAACCTAAATTTTTCATTTTAATAAAGCTGATTTTACTGTAACAAAAAACTGTTTGCTTAAACACAGAGAAACCTTCGGGGAAACTGACAAACCATGTAAAATTATCATTAACTTCTTAGTAATCAATTTTTTTTAATTATTATTTTTAATATGACTTCATCCATTTACCAATAAGGAGTATACAAATGTGAATTTCATCACTGAAGTGTGTCCATGTCGCAGTGACGGGGTAATCGAACTGTGAATTTAGTTTCTGAACTATTTACTAATGTAAAAAGACAAATAATTTTCATGACACTAGTTACAATTTGTTATTTCAATGAAAATTACTAAGATTTAGTAGGCTGTTGCAAGAGCTTACTAGCCAGGTTCCCAACATATTAACTGTATATATTTCTACTACTTACAAGTAGTATTCATTATGTAGCTTAAATGTGGTGTTAGATAAGATCGGTTAGTGAAGAGTATCTCTAAATAGATTAGAAAATGGTTAGATGTGCTGATGAATGTAGAGCTCAACAGAAAATTTAATCCATTTTTTTCTATAATCTGAAAAAAGAATGACCCAAGTGACAAGAATCTGGTGAAAATTGATTGAAATCTCTTTAATGAATTATGATAGCAGTAAAACAACATGATACTCATTTGATTATTACTAATACGTGTAGAAAACCACGTACATCAGAAATGACTGAGAGGATGTAAAGGTGCAAACTGAGGAATTTCTAATGTCAGAGAAACTTTTGGAAACATAGCAATCAGGTCAGTCTGCAGTCGACGGACACGTCAATAAAGATCCAGTTTATCAACCTACACGGAAAAGATCAGTTCATATATATATATATATATATATATATATATATTTAAAAGTATGAGCAGTGAAAATTCCTACTAGCCTGAACATATTTATTAGCACTGAAACTCTTCGTACCCGTTACCAATAAATTCCTCCCATGTACTATTAGCCGCATCTTTGTGTGATGTTCCACATTTTCGTAATTTTATAGTATGTGCAGACAGTTTCTATCCATTAGATTTGCGAAACCATGAGCTTGGTTGTACGTTAAAATATAAAACATTGGTGACTGGTTACAAATCAGATGATAGATATTACTAACATTCAAAATCATCTATGTACGCTAGTTGATTGACGAGCATCACCCATGCATTTTTGCCCTTCAAATCTTTATGACCACCAATTTGAGTTACGCAGAGAACTTCTGTCATAGGTAACCAAAACTATAAATGACTCCCACTAGATCTCCACATAATGAGGATACAAAGCACACAGCTATGAAAAGCGGATCTAACTGCAAATAGCTTCAAAATCAACTGTAACATTTAGAAACCCCAAACTGAGTAAAAGCGAATAAAGAAGACCCAATAATCCTAGTGTTTGCAATTTGATTGAAAGCCTGAACGAATTCAAGTTAAACCATCATTGGAAACCTGGAAGCATCAGACGGTCGTTTCGTCCCATGACTGGACTCATCAGCAGTACACATCAACGACCCTGCAACCGAGAATTGAACCTAAGAACTTTGTTCTAGCGCGCGAATGTTAATGTCTAACTTTAATCAATCTACTTATAATTTGTAACTTGTTACACATAGCAAATTATCATCTATTTGAATGTTGTCCGAATTGATAATAGGTTCCTTCAATAGGTTATGAAAAAGCTTCAATGATTGCTGGACAGAAACATCAGTCGAAGATTACATTTTCCTGGCTAAGTTCAGCAGAGCGAAACTCTTATATCGTAAACACTAAAGCCTGAGTAGAATACATGAACTATTTTAAATATTTCAATAATTAGGAAATATTTTACCTAACATTCAAAATTATCCGATCCCATATACCCTTGTGGTTTAGAAATAAAATTCATCGTATCTGTGATTAGATACTTCTGGTTTAGGTAAAGCTAGGAAACTGTCCAACTGTAACTTGTAAGTCCTCAAAATATATTACCTCTGGGATACATAGACACATCCACCTCAAACCAGTTACAGTACTGGTATTGTGTTTTCGGTTCTTTGGATTATGATGCACGGTTAAACTATATGTAAAATACGCGTTAAGTTCTGATACGAGCTAAATCAATGATAAGCATAACTCTGTGAAAAACAGAAATTACGAGATTGAGTAGAAAAAAGAAAGTTGATGGCAAAGAGTTGTGATATCCTTGAAAGTAAGCTGTGTATTTATGTGGGAATCAACGAAATGAGTGAGTCAATTATAAGCGAAGTAGCGAACGTGAGACATATTTACAACCGTTGAAGTCGCCACACTACACTACAGATGGGATAATGAGGATGTATGTCAGAGCAGAAGTAATAGTAATATCTGTGATAGTAAAAACGATTCACAAAAATATGGTTTGGAATTCAAGAACTTAATGTACCCCCAGTGCAACTCTTGCAGCTGAACCTCAAGAGGAAAAATCGATTTCTCAATAGCGAGAGGTGATAGGGTCTGATAACTTGATGAGCTTATGTACACTTTGAATAAGGTTAACCAACACATTTTGGTACTCATTTCTTGTCTTCTTACTCGAGTAACATGTTGGATTCACATGAAAGAAGGATACATATAAGCATCAGAATCGCGTAACCGCCAAATATAACACGATATCCCGACAGGATAAAAAGTGTGACATATCTTTGAAACTCAGGATCTAATGGGGGAGATAATGAATGAATGAATTTCCGTTGTTAATACCGATTCTGAATCATGTCATTTAACATCTGTAACTATTGTTATGATAATCCCTCGAGCCTTAACCAGATAGTCTGCACCTAACCACAATGGCTCAAATCAACAGTCAATAACTTCATAGATTAGTACCATAGGATGATAACATTAAAAAGGATGTAGTAAATATAATTCTTGCATACCAAATCCGAATCATAATATGTATTCTATGTTACATCGAATGATTTCTCATACTTCACAAGTATTTCATGAAAAAGGATGGTCTAATTTTTATATTGTTGAACAAAGATAATGACAAAAATATATGATTAATTTAATTACAAGAAAGAGAGATATAACTCAGTAATGTCACATCATAGCACGGCGTTCTCATATGAATAAGCACTTGCGCAATACATTAGATTATGATTGAATATGTATATATATAAAAAAACGGTGGAAGAATGAATATACGAATAAGTAAAATCACAGTTATTTTTAAAAATTTGCAGTTGATTTCTTTGCATTTTAAAGCAGGATTGATTGGTTTATTGTCGATTGTATTTGATCCCAAATGATCTGAATGTATTTCCCAACGTTCTTGTGAATTTCCCTCTAATATTAACAAGGACATGTTAATGATGAGCTAGGTTGAGTAGATTCAAAGGATACTCCTTGAGGTGGTTGTGACGTTGATGTTGATGACAGGAATTCAGGATCTTGAAGTATCTAGGATTTTAGATTATTCAAATGTGATAGAAATTAACAAACAAACAAAAATTTTATTTTAAACTCACATTAAATGCATAACTTTGAAGAACGTTTTAGTCATATACACTAGTGAAGTTATAATATTTGTGATGACTGAGGCTAATAAAGAAATGTCTAGCAATCAACTGAAGTCGGGGTGTATCTCTAACAAAAATATAAACATTCCAAGACTGTAATTATCTATAGACAAAACAAATTCTTAATGAATCACATTGGGAGATTTAAAACCAAAATAAATACGAAAAACAATCAAAAGCCTGAAATGAATGTGTATCGTCCCAGTTTACCACATATCATACATCATTGTCACCATAAACATCATTATAATATAGAAATAATCGTATACATTGTATAGGAAGGCTAAACACAAAATATATAGTATACAAAAGAAACGAATGAAACTATGACAACACATCATGCTCAAGAATTACATAAAAATGAAAAATCAATGCTACTGTGTAACTGTGTTACCCAACGTTTCAAACCATAAATCATAATCAGCAAGCCTATAGCTGCAAATACAGCTTAAGTCAAAGAGCGCCCCCCAAATGCCCTGGTACGAACGAGAATGGGGAGAATCAGCTCTCCTTCTCCAAATGCTCTCACATGGCCACATGCATACAACCACTGACAGGGAAGTCCTACTCACTACCTTCTCGACTCAAGGGTGTTGTTTACGAAGTTGAAAAGACGAAAAGCGTATGACCGGCGCTATGACCGGGTTAGTAGACACGGCAACTTTACCTAGGAAGTTGAAAAACCCTCATTCCAAACCAATGGTGCACATGGGCTGGCTTCAGTATCCTGAGAGAACAAATGGCGTATACACCAATTTTTGGTCACCGGCTACCATAAACTGCATCTCCTAACGTTGTTCCACTGTCTTATGGATCAGACCTTTAGGTCGAAAGCTCCAAGTGTGATCTCCTAAGAAAACCAGCTGGTTCGGTCTTGGCACCCGAGCAGTAACCCAGCCCTCAGACAAATCGAATGATTTATGTGGCGCATATCTAGTTGGTGCTTCCTTGTGCCGATGTTTATGTGTTTAAATAAATAAATAAGACCAACGAGCAATAAAATCATGGCCTGATATCATATTTTCTAATTGGTCACATCGAGTTTTGATACACTACTATGTCAGACATGTGTGAAACAGTCTATCTGAAATGTTTTGTTTAACCTTAGAATTGGTCATTTAGTGGTTCAAGTATACACGAAGACACCAGTTACTAAATGCATATCTTCTAATCTGATAGGCCATATTTCATACACATCTTGCCACAAGTGTCTCAAGTTGTCAAAAGGGGAGAACTTTTTATACTAATCCCCGATCACCCACAAACGCTAATTATACTTCTAAGGTAAGTAGAGCGATCAACACGCTCGACCATTCCACTATCTGTTTCGAGTCAGACTAAAGTTTCTAACCCCTGTCGCTTTACTGCCAAACGTGTTTTGAAGGATAACGATTATTTTAGTGTCTTCACCAAATGAACTACGTCGTCTGCGTAATCGCAAGCAGTGAAAGTCGATTTGAATTCTCAAGAAACTAATGCGCTTTCTGGTACACTTTTTAATAACAAACACTGGCATCAAACCTGTGAACAAACAAAGTGAAATGCATTTTTCAAGTCAAGAAAGACGATTGTGGTTAGGCATCGTGTTATAACGTGTCGTTTGAATGCTTATTGTCTTGGCTCTTTTAATGTTACTTTTTTTTATCTGGTCTCTGCTGATTGTTATGTCGGAAACGCTTATCACTTATACTCGGAACGAGGAACCTTTGCGATTCCCACGATGCGAAAGTAAGAACACAAAGGCCGGTATAAGTGATGATTTATTAACCCCAAAACACGTCGACGACAATTCTAGTAGAAAGTACACACAAAACTATTAATGAGTAAATTAATCGAAAATTGACTTTTCTTTCCATCATATCGCATCGATAAGCATGTCCAAAAATCTGTTGAAGGATGAGTATATATTCTGCATTATTTATTTATTATTTATTTCAACACATAGAAATTGGTACCAAATACATATGCGCCACACAAATCTCATTCGATACGTGTGAGGGCTGTGATACTGCCCGGGTACCCAAACCGAAGCAGGTGGTTTTCTTAGGGGGCCACACCCCGAGCCTTCGACCTGATGGTCTGATCCACAAGGCAGTGGAACATCGTAAGGAGATGCAGTCCTATGGAAGCCGGTGACCAACAATTGGTTCATACGCCATTTGCTTCCGCATGATACTGGATCCCAGTGCACCATTGGTTTGGAATCCGGTTAAAGCGCCCGACATTCGCTTTTCGTCCTCTCATTTTCTTAAACAACACCCCCGCCACGCGTGGCCATGTGAGAGCATTTCGAGAGGGGGAGCGGACCGTCCCCACTCTCGGCCGTACCAGGGCATTTGGGGGCTTCACAGTTATATAATATACCCTTGTGGGCCAGGGTAATTTTACATTGGTTTTCAGGAGAACCAGACACCATCCGGACTTTCACGTGAAAACCCAAACAGTACAGCTCAACCCTGTTTAGCAGGGGAACCAGACACCGTATAGGCCTTAACGTTACAGTCTGAATAGTACAGCTCAATCCTGTGGCGCAACCACACAGGTACCAAGCACCCTGGTGGACCAAACCCAAGTCTGAAACAGGATTTTTTATTCAGCTTGTTTTCACCAACCTTTATTCATGCACCAGATGATTTTAAAAATTGATACTTCATGAATTATCAATAAACAGTTATCATAGGGTTTCCATCTTTTCGTATAAACCAAAATGACTGGATATCTAGGCCAACTAAGGGGAAGCGGTTTGAGCTCCTAGACATAGAAATCAATCTGACCAGTATTGTTAAATGCCTCTGGAATTAATCCGTCAGTATTCTTTTGTGACTTGTTTCAAATTAATTATAATCCTTACAACTCCAGTTGGAATACATTGGAGCAAATTAGTAAGAACGTGATCTGCCAGGTAAGAATTAAGCTTGTCAGTCAGGTCTTAGTCTTATTGATGTAAATGATCTATAATAATTTGTGTAGTGTAACTTCTAATCATAAGTTAACATTTTTATTATGAAAAACGCACTCTATTAACCAATTGTATTACCTTTGATAACAGTTCAAATGAGATTGAATCAATAAAAATTCAACTCCACGTACACTTGTCAGTTGACTATGATGGATTATTTTGAATTACCTATAGATCAATATTCTATTTTTCCACTTAACCACCAAAATGTATACATAATGAATTCAAAAAACTCATTGCCAACACATTATTAGTGGAAGACATTAAAAGAATCAAGCGAAACCAGGATGTGTAAGAAAATGAACAATCGTATTTAATTTATTTATTCATTTGAACACATAAATATTGGTACAAAGGGGCACCAAATACATATGCACCACACAAGTCACTTAATTTGTGTGTGGGTTGTGATACTGCCCGGGTGCTCAAACCGAAGCAGAAGGTTCTCTTAGGAGGCCACACACGGATGTCCGAAAACATATAAAGAGATTAATTACACAACAACTAGTTAGTTTTAACCATTTGAATTTCTGATGAAATAAGATAAATCACAAACCAACCGAAAATTTAGTATAGTAATTGTTAAATACGCCGACCAATCACTCGTTTCAATTAATCATTATTTATATACATACTAATGGGTACAAAAATAAGACTTACTTTACGAACAAGTTCTACAAAAGCATCACGGACATTCTCACTTGTTTTTGCACTGGTTTCAACAAAGATTGACCCCATACTTCGGGCGAAATCTGAACCTTCTTTTTTTGAAACTATGCGATTATCCTATGGATAGAATATCTCTAAAATGATTTCAACAAACTAACCAAGTCAATTTTATTGCCAACAAGCATTTTTAAAAGTCGACTACCACAGAATTGTCTGGTTTGTTCTACCCAGTATTTCACTCCGGAAAGACTTTGTGCAGAAGTAACATCGTATACTAAAAATGATGAGGAGAATAAAACTATAGGCTTGTTTTTACCAAAAAGAGCACCATGAGCGTGGCGGTAAAGAGAAGGAGTCAAGTAACTACTGTATCGTTCAACACCAGCTGTGTCCTAATAACATGAAAATAAGTGTTCTACAATGTTTATGACATGACGTTTACCCATATATTAAACTGAATTGTTCTTCCGTCTACAATCATTTGATATGGTTTGAAATCGAAACCGATTGTCGCCGCTTCATTGTGTGTAAATCGGTCATCAACAAATCGACGAATTAAACTATAAAAAAGAAATCAGTTAGCGGAAGCTAAATGATATATATGGAAGGACATACCTTGTCTTCCCCACACCTGAATCTCCTAACAGGATTAATTTAATTTTTATCGATTCTTCACCGGTCATATTTTAAATATCTAAAGGAGTAATAATATTAAATGATAGTATTTGGACTGTTAACCATAAAAGAATTCGTCTACGTAAAATGTAACATGGTTGCAGAGGACTTTCATTAACTTCCAAGGAACATTAGTTTATTCAGTAAATAAAAAAACCCAAATAATTCTAAGTTATACGTTCCCTTTACACATGAAAGTTGTTTAATTTTTGTAAAGTAACACAAAGCTGAATTTTATGCAGTGTAGTTGTTATTATAATACGCTGGTGGACATCCGGTTTCGATTGAGAATAACAGGTTGGAGGAGTGAAACTAGGCTCTCGTACTAGTGTGAGGATTTTTTGATTTATAAATGCACCGAGGTAGATTAGTCTATGAATAAACCTATTGAATAACTTAACCCACCAGTGTCCTAATAACTATTGACACAACAGTTCACAGATAACTTTTGCACTCAGAATATCTGAGAAACATTTACAACTTATCCATAAACTTATAAAAACTTCCCTCTAAATTTGAGCGCCAGGTTGGTGTGAGACATTAATGAGGAAGAATGTAATTGTAGAATCTCATAGAATGAATTTGTAGTAAATCTAACATTTCACCTGGTAATCTTGTCCAACTTTTTTCAAGCAATTATGATCAAACATCAAAATTGGTACATGGTTCTCTGGTTAACTATATACTAAATAGGTCATCTAATTAACGTTAACAGTTTTTAAAGTAGGTATTTGCTCTAGTGTGTAAGAGACATGTGGTGTGAAACGGTGTTAAGATAACAGATTGTATGTATGTGTAGGTGGTATGAGAAGGAATTTCATTCACTATATATTGACTCTGATCGGTGGATTTTTAAGAAAAATACTATTTTTACACATATGAATCAAACATGTCACAGCATGCAAAAAATGAAGAGAAATGAAGGAATGAATGTTTGTATAATTTTTATTGTTCCAGTTAATTGTTTAGCATATTTAGATAAGACAACCAATTAGAAGCGTTGAATGTAATTGTCGTTATTCAGATAATAAGAGATAGATAAAATAGAATAAGGATTTCAGGTCTACTTATTAATCATTAGTTGCCATGGGACAGCTAATTGCATTCCATCTCTACTATCAATACTATTTGGATTAGCCCGTATGTATAGGACTTTAGTCGTTAGTCTTTCTTTGTAAGAATTAGAACTTTTTAAAGGAAATCAGTTGTATGACCCAATTCAATTAAGTGTAATGCTATCACTGATTCGTTTTCGAGTTTTCTTAAATCATTTGGCGATTTAGGAATGTGCTTTAAGCATAGTTTGTGTTAATTCGCCCTCACATTCAGTCCTCTTGATGTTTTACCTATACATGTAGCATTACAGTCACTACATTTGCTTTCATAAGGACAAATTTGTTGTTCCTTCCTGTGTACTAGATCTTTGATTTTTACTAGTTTTGACCTTAAAGTATTGTTTGTTCAAAATAATACTAAATTCATTTAAAAGATTTCATGAGAGCTACATTCCAATCCTGTTGTTACTTGTCATACCGCATCAAAATTGCATGATTTCGTCTACTGATCACCTGAATTAAGATGCTACTATTACCATTTATTTAAACACATAAACATTGGTAAAATAAGACACCAAATATACATGTGTCACATAAATCATTCGATATGTGTAAAGACTAGAATACCGCCCAAATTGAAGCAGGTGGTTTTCTTAGGGAACCATTCCCCAAGCCTTTGACCTACAAGTCTAATCCACAAGGCCGTGGAGCAATGTTAGGAAAAACAGTCCCATGGTAGCCAGCGACCAGCAATGCGCTCACACGCCATTTTCCCTCAAGATCTTTTGGCTCATATGCACCATTCGTTTGGAATCAGAATTTTCTAACTCTCCTAGACGGATCCTCCATATCCACCAACTCAGTTAAAGCGCCGGACATTCGCTTCTCGTCCTCTCAATTTCGTAAATAACAGCCCAGTCGCGAGAAGGCAGTGAGTAGGACTTCTATGGCAGTGGCTGTATACGCGTGAGCATGTGTGAGCATTTGAATAGGGAGCTGACTCTCTGCAACCTCGGCCGTACGAGGGCATTTGAAGGTATTGTGATAATTACTTACACCTCTGGATTAGTGACGCAGGAAGCACAAAGTGAACAGTTGTCTAAAGAGAAAATAAATCGTCAACAAAAACTGGTTGTTTTATGCAGTAAAACTTAAGCAGTTTTATATAAAATAGGTATAGTCTAAGTTTATTTAAAACAGGAGTGATTTTTAGACATTGGTTTTGTAGGTTATTCACGGAACTACGAAATCGAAGTCTGATTATCAGGCTTAGTGTCCACCATATTATTTAGCAAACAGATATGTTCAATCAACTCACTGAAGGTTGATGCGAATTCAGACATGGATTTTGGCAACAAAAAGCATATTGATCCCAGCAGCTAATGCCCAAAATTTCACAGTATATTCTCATATGATAGCAAGGTGTAAGTCTCACATATGTAATCTTCAGTCAGCTCGTAGGTACTGTACACCCCATAAGAATGAGTGTGCAATCTTGTATAACATCACTGAGCTGCAGTCAAACCTTTGATTTATAAAATACTTCTATACAAGATTTCTGATATGAGTGTTACTGACCCACAATCTACTGATGTGATAACTGATCAATTGCAGAGTTGCATACGTGTGCAAAGTCCTGTGTTGATAACTGACTGACATTCATAGGTTTAAACGCATTTCCTTACCCTTTTATTTTTACTAACATGATATAAGTGTCAATGCTTTACCTACCCTTAATGTGAATGCCCTGGTAAGGCCGAGAGTGGGGACGGTCCGCTCCCCCTCTCGAAATGCTCTCACATGGCCACGCGTGGCGGGGGTGTTGTTTAAGAAAATGAGAGGACGAAAAGCGAATGTCTGGCGCTTTAACCGGATTCCAAACCAATGGTGCACTGGGATCCAGTATCATGCGGGAACAAATGGCGTATGAACCAAGTGTTCGTCACCAGCTTCCATAGGACTGCATCTCCTTACGATGTTCCACTGCCTTGTGGATCAGACCATCAGGTCGAAGGCTCGGGGTGTGGCCCCCTAAGAAAACCACCTGCTTCGGTTTGGGCACCCGAGCAGTATCACAGCCCTCACACATATCGAATAAGATTTGTGTGGCGCATATGTATTTGGTGCCTCTTTGTACCAATATCTATGTGTTGAAATAAAAATAAATAAATGGGTAACTGGATGCTATGGGAATACATCGGAAAGATCTTAGGATGCTGATGAAGAAGACTAGAAAAATAGTAGGGCCTCAAAATGAACGAACCAGCTGCCCGAAAATATATTAGGAAGACTTTTTGTTTTTTCGCTCAGTTTCCTTATAAGTTGAGTGTGACACACTGGTCAGTTCAGGTTATCAAATCACGGAGAACATATCTGATGGTATTTGTGGTTCACTATGATATAGACATGGGGTGGTAAATTTCAAGAGAAAACAGTGAAAATAACAGTACTTTGCTGCATATTTAGCCTGTTCACCCTAAATTGCATGATACACTAATGAAGCCATAGCTAGTTCAGCAGGCAGCTTCAGTAAGGAATAAACGACTGTATACCGTTGGTTGAAAATGAACCCGATTCGCAGAATAGTCTTCTGTTACACTCACTAGTAAACTAGTGTTCATATTATTATCAATTTTCATAACTTTCAGTTTACATTCATTCTGCATATGAAAAATTTTAAAATTAAATGAGTGGATACCGAGGTTCCTCGAGACACTTAATTAGTATGATAATAAACCTTATTTGGTTAATAAGTTTGCAAATTTGAAGTAGAAACGTTTTACTTTTGCGAGGGTAGAAGTTTAGTACAAGTAATGGCCTTTGATGAGGAAAGCCTTAAACTCTAGCAAATTGTAATTTCTGTTTCGGTTTGGATGTTATCTGTGACAAAGTTTGTAACAAGGATGAAGGTTTTCAACACTGACTTACATTAAATATGACACAGAAAAGCTAGGGTTAAGGATTTGGAGTCGGGCTGGTTATTAGTTAATGTTGGGGTTAAGGATTAAAGTTACAGTTTTCATAACGAACTGAAGCTATCTATAGCGCAGTGATGTTATACGCTTTCAGATTATAAAATTACTGCAGCTAGTGCTAAAAAGAGACAGAAGATAGAATAATAGAATGCCTCTTGGCTTGACACACATTTTAGGCTATGAAATGAATCACACAAGGCACTCCCAAGGAGAATCTATACAATTTATATGCATTTCGCGTAATTAGACTAAGGCACCATCTCGCATTTACATGTGACTGGGTGGAAGGTATATTTATGGATTATTCTTGAAATCAGTTATAAAAATTTACACTCTGTTTATAGCAAGAAATATAGAAAATAAGAAGCCAACGTTTGGCTTTAATTGACTACAATTTTATCAAGTTGTCCAAAACTCTTTGAAGGTAATAAATGCTTGAGATGATAAAAAGCAAAAAGGTTCATTGGAACCAAAACTTTTACCAATCTCTACCAAGCATTATTTGATGCTAACTGCTTGGGAGCCGAAAGATAGTGGAAGTAATCACAACAAGTTCAAAAGACGGGGCCTAGGAATAACCTTGAGATCTAAACAGTTCAAATGGTCCAAATTGTTGTGGACGGAATTGAAGAAGCTGTCGCTTAACGGGCTTCCGTGTCTAGTAGCAGTGGATCACCTGAACGTCCAGGCAGGAACTTTTTTATTAGTGATAATGGAAGTAAAAGAAATTGATAAATCATACTAATATATTATCCCTAGTCCTTAAGAATGGGTCAAGTTTCCTCTTGAAGGACCCCTGGAAATTAACTAAGATTAGCTCAGTCGGCAGCGAATTTCAGCATTTGACAACTCTTAAGGACTAGAATATGTGTCTACAGTCCGTTCTGCTGTATTGTGTCTCCAGTTTTTGGGTGTTCCTCCTTAGGTTTGTGTTGGGGCTAAATTTAAGTAGATATTTAAGGGGATGTCCAGAAGTAATAAGGATACTGTGAGCTATTAAAAGGTCACCCCTAAGACGCCTTTACTCTAGTGGGTAAGGGTTTATTAATTAGAGGTGCTTTTCGTAAGGCTTGAATTTGAGTCTCCGAACTGATTTTGTGGCTCGCCATTGGATACGTTCCAGAGTGTCCTTATCCTTTTGGAGTGAGGGAGGAAATACTATGTTTGCGTGCTCTAAATGGGGACGAATAAAACTGTTGAAGATCATGTAGAAAGTTCTTCAGCCAAACTGGCTAAGAATGCGCTCCAATTTTACCCGTGCAGGGCTTACTCGAAAGGCATTTTTGTCACAGCATAAGACTTCAAATCGTAGGGTACCAGCACTCCGAAATCTTTTTCAACCCGGGCTACTTCCAGAGCGGAGTTTCCTAAGTTGTGACTGTAGTCTGCAACATGTTTCGGATGGACTACTTTACACTTTGAAGTGTTAAAGGTAAGATTGTTGTCATCTGTCCAACTTTGAAGTTGAGTCAGATCCTCCTGAAGTGCCTGTATATCGTCTTGGTTGAGTATCTCTCTCCAAAGTTTCACATCATCAGTAAAAGGTGATGAGTCATACGATACCTGTTGTGGAAGGTCGCCTATACAAATCAAGAAAAGAAGAGTTCCCATTACTGAACCCTGGGTGAACGCACCAGGACATTCAACTGCCTGAGAGAAAGTGAAGTTAACAATGACCTTAAAATGTCGATTTTTTATGTATCAAGTCAGCCAGTAATTAGAGGTGATTTGATATCCAACCGTTTGCGCTTATTGACAAGACATATATGGTTGACACTATCAAAAGCTTTTGAGAAGTCAAGGTTAATGACGTCAAGCTTCCCCTTACAATCACAGATGCTTGTCCATCTTTCCACGGCAGTCAGCAGATGGGCTG